TAAACATGTACCAAAAAGGTTGCAAGTGCACAACCGTGTCAAGTTATAGTATTCAGATCCCTCTCCCAGCGCGCCAAGACGAAACCAGTCATGCGCGCCCACCACCCTTTGGCTAGGGAGGGAGCCCAGCCATAACATCTGTACTCCGATGGGGGTAACTGTCTCCCAAGAAGAGCCAGACGGTTGTTCACAGTCGGAGCAGCAGCTGACACCTCGCCTGGGGGTGCAGTATCAAGACCCATAATCCCGGGTCGTAGACCACGCACGTCATGATACCCGTCAGAGCCAGGAGTCTTATGGTGAGTAGCATATCCGCACTGATCCCGATCAGCGTCTTCAGTAAGATGCCAAGACGTCCGTCTGTCCACGGCTTGCCCCTTCAAGTGACTGAAAGAATAGTGGCGTGGAATCGAAGGGATGTACAAACAAGCTCCCCCGTCGAGAGTTAGCCAATGCTCCTCGCCCTAGAGGGTTCTAGCCTAAAGGCGAATCAAACAAAATAAAAATAAACAAAAAGAAAAACTAAACCAAGAGGGTTCTGGCCTCAAGGTGAATAGTATAAGAAATTAAAATCTAACTACAAAATAAATTGTAAAATCTAAACTATAAAATAAATTGCAAGAATTAAATGCAAGAAAATAAATCTACTCTATAAGTATGAAATAAATCTAATCTATAAGCATGAAACAAATCTAAGGCAAGAGGGTTCTAGCCTCTTGGCTATTTAACAAGAAAAAAAATATAATTATAAGCATAGAAATAAATCTAAACTAATAAGCAATAAAAAGAAATAAAAGAGAAAAAGAAAAGAAATACAAACCTCTAAATAATTCTTCATCTCCATCTTCATCATTCAACAAAGAGAAGAAATATTTAAAGTGGTGAAAAAATTATTATTATTAATTGTAACAAAAAGTTACAAATTTGGAAGGCCTTCTCAATTAAGAGTAGCCCTCCTCTCCAAAAGGAGTTACAAAAATTTTCACACCTCTAACCCCTCACTCTCAACCCCTATTTATAGTAAACATCAGTGAATGAGAGCCCTTGGATCAAACTTGAGCCCCAAGAATGCAATTTCGGTCGTAGATAAAATCTGGATGACTTCGCATCGATGCCTGCATCGATGCCCGCATCGATGCTGGCATCGATGCTCGAATAAGAATTCTGACTTCACGGTTGGCTTCGTCTCATCGAGATAGGCGATTTTTATATATTATATAATAAATTCCGCCTCCCGGATTGGGAGATATCGTCGTTTCTTTGCGGTCAACTATCTTGAATACATTTTTTTTCATATTTAATTTTTTTTTATTTTCTCTGGCTTCTACAGGCTACTCGGCTTGATTCTGGGCTTGGGCTTTTTGACTCTTGCTTATGTTCTTCATTTAATTCATGGGTTTTTGTTGGGATAAGAGATCTTGGGCTTTATTCTTTACTAACCTGCAATTAAAGATAAAAACAATTATTAATGACATATTTATTCATATAAAATAGATAATGAGGGTATAAAATTATAATAAAATGTGATTATCATTACTGTAGCTTCTGTGCGGCTAGAGCTGGATGTCAACACTCCTCATTAGCATAAAATATATGTGATTTGTATTGACAAAAACAAAACAAATGCATGATTTTCCTCTTCATGTTTCTTCTCTCAAAAACAAAGAAGAACCTGATATTGAGAGCATCAGTTCCCAGTTTCTAAAACAACGACTCCTCTTCTCCAAAGAAATCTATGTCAAAGAAAAACAACTTCAAACCCATTATCACTTCCAATTACTCCACAACAATCTCTTCCTCCTCTCAAATCCTACTTATAAAACTTAGAGTTTCTCCTGTGACGTTGAAGAAGAGGAAACAGGGGAGTGTTCCCTGTGCCATTTTTTAGAGAAGACAGGGGATATGGTTTGCAGCAAGGAGAAATCTTGCACGAACATTTGCTTGGGGATTTTTAGCGACATCGAGGCAAGACTACCCTCATCCAAACCTTTCCCTGTAATTAGTTAAAATTATAAGAAGTTTAAGAAATAAGATTTTTATGCCTGAGCTTTAACTGCTATGATTAACTTCTATGTTAAAATAAATTAGATTTTCGATGATAATTTTGATCCAATGCTAGAACTGAATATTTTGTTTAATTATTGTTGGAATTAGATTTATGATCATGATCATTAGGATTAATATAAAATTCTGTTTTACAATTGTAAACTAAGTTTTACTATGTAAAAATCCTAGTTTATTTGATTATTTGAGTTCTTCTTGTAAACTAATCATGCTAAAACCCAAGGATTTGATATCTAAGATTGAAATCAAGTTTTAAAATGAATTACATCTTTTTTCATGTGTAATTCTATCATATTTTAATAATCAATTTTGTTTATATATGAGAAATTAAAGAGATTTACTAGTGATATATATATATTCCGCAGAAAACTGCTGCACGGGTATGATCTTTAACTGAAAATTGTATATAGCAAATGAACTCCAAATTGAACTAAACTAGTTTCAAATGAAAGATTTGTAAATCTAGTTTCTAAAACAGAAAACCATTCTTAAAAAGATTTTGTTAACTAACTTAGAAAGAGAGATTTAATGTTAACTAACTTACTCTTCCTAATTGTTAGTTCTTAATTAAATTTTTTTTTATCGCTCTTGACAGTTAACTATTTTTTTTCTTTGGCTTAATATCAATATGTAGAGTCATGATATTAAGAACTAATTGCTTGTTTCTTATTAATACATATTAGTCATAATTGTTGAAATTGTTCAAGCTTATTGGTGTAGTAATAGTGCAACTATTTGATTTCCTGTGCGAGACAACGAGTATTGATTCTTGCTACTTGATGCTAGGTGTAGTGCTACTAGTTGATTCGCCATTAGTAACTTGTAAAGAGAAAAATAAAATTTAGCAATATAGTTGTTAGATATGCAATATACTAGTATGAAAGTTTTAATAATTTTCATGATTGAATGAAAATTAACGTACAAGTTTAATTCACTAAATCTATATACTATATTATATGTAAATATATGAATTTTGTTGCATAATGCATATATGTGTTTTGGTGTAGATATGTCTTCATCAGCGGGTGGTGGTAGAAGATAAGATCATACATGGAAATATACTTCATTAGTTGATGATGGGAATGCCAATAGACACAAGTGCATATTTTGTAACAATTTCACAAATGGCGGTATATCTCGACAAAAATAACATCTAATCGGGACGGATAGGAAACGCAAAAATGTGAGGCTTTGTCAAAAAGTCCCTTGCAATGTGGTTGAAGACCAAAAAGGTTATGAAGAAAGACAAAAGATAGCTAAAAGACAACATGCTATAGATGATTATCTCCCCGATCTTGGAGATGAGAACATGGTGGAGATGGATGATGAGGAGCTTGAAGATGAACAAGTACAAGTACAAGAATCTAGAGATAGAGGAAGAGACCCGGCGGTTCTTAAGTCATCTTTGGTAATGGCAAGAGGAAGAGGGAGTGTTGGCTTGCACAGTGTGGGATCTTCCATAGGCCCAAAGAGGAAGGGGTCGGCAAGAGGAAGAGGGAGTGTTGGCTTGCACAGTGTGGGATCTTCCATAGGCCCAAAGAGGAAGGGGTCGATGGATGTATTTCTTATATTTGATCCTACTCTAGAGATCGCCAAGGATGAAAGAAGGCGCAAGTTAAGGCAAATGTATATTGAAGAAAGCCTCAAAAAAAGATGTAGTGGATAAAGTTAATCAAGACATAGCTCAGTGGTGGTATCAAGCTGGCGTTTCCTTTAATGTTGCTCGTCTTAGGTCTTTCAAAATCATGCTAAAGTCCGTAGGGGATTTTGGGCCAAACTTGCCTCCTCTAACATTACACCATTTTTAGAGAGCCTTTGCTTAGGAAGGAGGAAAAATACACCGATGATCTGATACAACCTTATAAGAAGGTGTAGGCTACCAAAGGTTATTCTTTCATGTCAGATGGTTACAGTGACAGAAAGGGGAGGACATTAATCAACTTTCTTGTAAGCTCTCCTCATGGTATGATGTTTCTTTCCTCTATTAATGCTTCAGATGTGATCAAGACGGGTGACAGAATATTTGAGATACTTAGTGAGTAGATTAAGCTTATAGCACCTCAGAATGTTGTTCATATCATCACAGATAACCATTCTATTCTCAAATATGTAGGTAAAATTTAAGCAATTGATTTTATTTTAGTTATGAATCCTTTTCTATGTTAGGATGCTCTGATATTGATCTTTTTTTTTCTTTTTTGTTATAGGAGCTGAATTGGAAAAGGAGTATCCTCATTTATATTGGTCTCCGTCTTTTTTTTTCTTTTTTGTTATAGGAGCTGAATTGGAAAAGGAGTATCCTCATTTATATTGGTCTCCGTGTATTGCTCACTATATTATCTCATGCTCAAGGATATTGGTAAACTACCATATGTGAAGCTAACCTTGAGTCGAGCTATAGAGTCTCATGCTCAAGGATATTGGTAAACTACCATATGTGAAGCTAACCTTGAGTCGAGCTATAGAGTTGACAGGATTCATCTACTCACATGCATGGGTTTTGAAGCTGATGAGAGGTGAAACTAACGGCAAATAGTTTCTTACACCGGCGGTGACACGATTTGCCACGTCATTTATGACTTTGTCAAGCATCCATTGATAGAAAAATAACCTCAGAAAGATGTTTAATTTGGAGAAATTGAGGCAAAGTAAGTGGGCAAGAGATTCAAAGGGCAAATCATCTTAAAGGATGGTTCATATGTCATCTTTCTGGAACAACATCGTTCGTATTCTCAAGCTCACGGCTCCTCTCATAAAGGATGGTTCATATGTCATCTTTCTGGAACAACATCGTTCGTATTCTCAAGCTCACGGCTCCTCTCATTGGTATTCTGAAACTTGTTGTTCGTATTCTCAAGCTCACGGCTCCTCTCATTGGTATTCTGAAACTTGTTGATGGTGACAAGAAGCCTGTTATGTGAATAATTTATGAGGCGATGAATAGAGCTAAGGAGGCTAATGCTAAAGCCTTTGTTGATGATTCAACAAAATATTCTGAGGTATTTGATATCATTGATAAGAGGTGGCAAGATCAGCTTCATCAGCCTTTGCATATTGCAGGATATTACCTTAATCTTGCATTTTCTTATGACCATCCAAACATCCAAGGGGATAACAAAGTTATGAAATGTCTTTATCAAGTCATTGAGAAGATAGTGCCCACACAAGACCAAGATAAGATTGATAGGCAGTTGGATATTTATAGGCATGCTGGGGGTCTTTTTGGTATAATGATAGCTAAGAGAAACAGAAAGAAGAAGTCTCTAGGTAAATATGCATAATATAAACCCTCAATTGACTAGATTTTTTATAGAAAATACACTACTAATCACACTCTATTTAAATTGACGGCTGATTGGTGTGAGTCTTATGGTGCATCAGTACCAGAGTTACAGAAGCTTGCTATTAGAGTCCTCAGCCTTACTTGTAGCTCCTTTGACTACAAAAGAAATTGGAGTACTTTTGAGCAAGTATGATTAGTTTTATTTTATTCAACAAAATAGGTTTAATTCCCTTAGAGATATGGATATTGATTTGATTAATTTGTATAAATTACAGATACACACCAAGAAGAGGAATAGATTGGATCATAAGAGGTTGCAAGATCTTTACTGCAAGTACAACCAAGCATTGAAGAAGAGATTTGACTGTAGAGATTCTATTGATCCAATTAAGTTGGCTGATATAGATGAAAGCAATGAGTGGTTGTTAGGGCAGTTCGGTGAAGGTGAAAATGCAGAGAATGACTTGGTGAAGGGCTAGTACAACCTTACATATGGTGTCGTAGGAGATGCGATGGGAGATAAAGATGTAAAACCCTGTATTTTTTTTATGAAGTTATGTGAATTTTTTGTGATAAATAATTTTTATTGTGTTAAATAGCTTGAGGTCATGGATATACTTGATAACAAGCTATTAGAGATGTATGAGTGTATATGTGTAGAGTTTTGTGCATGGGTGTTTGCAGATAAACAAGACATGCACGAAACTGGATATTGTCTGCTCAGTCCACTTATCAGTCGACTGATGAGTCGACCTATGAGTCGACTGACGGGCTGTTTTCGGGTTTGTTTTCAGTTGCGGGTTTGGTTGGGTTTTGTTTAGGTTTTAACCGTATTATATATATATATTCTTTTACCCGAAACCAACCCAAAATCCATCAGATCTCAGAGAAACCCTAGCCCCTCTCTCTCCCCTCAAACCTTAGCTTCGTTGTTGGAGATTTTTGGGGAATTTTCGGAGGATTTGCAGCAGGATTTTGTGGTTCTGTCGAAGGAGGATCGATTCCTCGAGGGTTCAGGAGTTTTACAGTACATCAGAGGTGAGTAACATCTCGCCCAGCCCTATACCCACTGTTTGTATAATTTTATTGACTTTTATTTCGGATTTATTGAGCCTAAATAATTATTTTGTGTATAAAAGTAGATCTTTATAGCATATGATGCGAGAAATCAAATTTTTAGTTTATAAAAAGCTCACCAACAATTTTTAATATAGAGATCTAGATCTGAAACAACTTAAATAAGAGTTTAAAGTTCCGTTTTATTGTCTTTAAAGTGTTTAAATCATGAGTATACATGTTTCGTATTCTTGGTGATGGTTTTACATATTAAAATGTTGTTTTAAACTGGGTAATATATGTTAGAACATGTAATTTTAAGCTTGGGATATAATAATGTTACAAACAAATATCGTATGCGAAACTATAAATCTGTCTGCTCAATCGACCCATCAGTCGACTTATCGGTCGACTTATGAGTCGACTGATGAGTCAACCAATGAGTCGACTGACGGGAAATTTACATCTTTCTTTTCTGTTTATCAGGACAACCAAAGAGTCGACCGATGATCCCAGTCGACTCATGAGCCGACTGATGAGGAAATTTCCAGTTTTCCTTGGTTTGGATCTGTTTGGATCTGTTTGGGTTGTTTCAGTTCAACCGAAATTTGTTTGGACATGTTTACTGTTATTGTGTGCTTCCATGTGAACGAGGAGTCACCTCGAATATCTGATTTTAGAAATTTATTGTTTATTATGCATCTCTGCATGTGAGATGACTTACAAACACGAGTTTTGATTTGCACACCGAGACATGTGTGAAGTTAGTGTATATGCATCTTTTCATATATTGCATTTAGTCCATGTGTTGGGTAATTATTATATGTAGTCCATGTGTTGGACATTCATCAAATTCAGTCCATGTGTTGGACATATATTTTTATCAGTCCATGTGTTGGACAATTTACATATGCAGTCCATGTGTTGGACATCCACTACATCTAGTTTTAGTCCATGTGTTGGACACCAGTTTAGACCTTGAGTGTGACACTTATACTTACATAGGTTGGACATGACACTTATGTGAGTTGTGACATGACACAGTATTTTAAGTTCTGAGATGGGTTGTCTTCTTTTTTATTATTGTTCCTGTATTAGATTTCGGGTTTGGTGTTTAGGGATTTACAATTTGAGGTACAAGGTATATACATGAGGATTTCCTTGTTTGGATTATTTCGCTCGACGTACCTATGCTCGTGTTGTAATTTCCTAAATACTAAAATCCTCTTATTGTTAGGGATTTACAATTTAAGCTACAAGGTATATACATGAGGGTTTCCTTATTTGGATTATTTCGCTCGACGAACCTATGCTCGTGTTGTAATTTCCTAAATAGGATCAGTGATTTTATGTATATATATGTATTAAGTGTATTTTCTGTATACAACGAGCCCTATCCCTTGGGGTTGGTTGTGATGTTGCTCTCTAACGTTTTGACGCTCGTTGTCCCTCCCCTTTCAGGTAACGAGCCAGGTGCCCGGAGAGTCGCAGATTGATGGCGATGCACTTTAGTGATTCAGCTGTCTATTTTAGTTATATTTTTCTTTTGAGCTCCACTGAAGACTTTTGTTTAGACATTTGAGGGTTTTATTCTAGAAGTTGTAAAGGTTGTGTGCCTTATTTCCTCTTATTCAGACATTTTGTATTTGAGACTTGTTGAGAAACTCCAGTTTGTTTATTTCAGACATTGACTTGTATTTCGGTATGTTAGATGATGGAATATTAATTTGATCTCTATTATTTCATCAGTTGACTCTTGTATTATCTTTTACTTGCTTTTGTCCCTACATCTGTTATTGACTCTACTAGAGATATGGTAATTATGATGGTGAAACATGTTATTGCATGGTGTTGTGCATTACAGGTTTGACATTCTTGGTTTCACCTTGGACTGCAGCCTTGTGTGAACCCAGGGGCGTCTCAGTTGGTATCAGAGCTCTAGTTCCAGTATCCTTAGGATCATTCTGTGTCGAGTCGTGGAGCTAGGTTAGAGTTTCCTAGGATTCATGTATAGAGTTTGCTAAGGATTTCCTAGTATGAGTGAGGACGATATATGCGTATATCTCAAAATTTGAGGATATTTTTTTATGACAATATATATATATCATATCATGAGAGAAGAGAGGAATATGGGTATACTTGGGCCCAATGTGATCCTTGGTATTGATTGTGGACACATCTTGTCGCATACCATCACATCCTGGAGTGGTGAGGGCTCCATCTTCTTAGGTGTGCAATGTATGGACAAGATGTGTCCACATCAGCTACCAAGGATCCTTGGTAGCGAGTATACCATTTTTCTGCATATATATATATATACTATATATATATATTATATATAAATTTATAATATATATATATATATTATATCATATAAATATATATATATAGATATTATATAATTTGAGAATTTTTTTTATGACAACTATTTTATGTTGATTGAAGGTATCTGCGTGAATACTATATGTTATGAATTCGTATTGTGGTACGTTATATATATATATATATATATATATATTTGTTATCTCATTTACTGTGATAATTAAGCTCTCTTTTTTATGTTATAAATATCGAAACGAGGATGTGGTCGAGCTAAAACTCGTACCTGGAGAGCTGGGCATGCAGAGCCGAGCCGCATCAGGCACCACTATATTTGATTGACTTCATGGCACCGTTAGCAGCAAGATCTTACAACACTTGAGGAGCAAGAGATGTATCTGTTTCCATCAGTAGTACCACTTTCAGGAGTTCCATCACCGGTTGTACCCGTCGTGAAAGTAAAGAGGCAAATTTATGAAGGCACCACCACCACAATTAGCTGTTTATAGAGCCACAGAGCATGAGTTAGATGTATTCAGCATTGAGGACATAGCTGGATGATAGCAACGACATCAAGATTTTTGTCGGGGTAGCAAATTATCACCTATTTGGGAGAATTTTTGTCAATACTTCAACAAGCAGTTAGAGCTAGTCTAAGTAAAGTAGGGAGATATACCCGTGGTGAAGGAAGAAATCAAAACCAGAATATTAACAATGACAATGACAATAGAACTATTATAGAATCTAGAGAATCCTAGCAGCGGAAGAATGATTTTTACCAAGCAACAAGGACAATATAAGAAAGGAGCACGATATGATTCGAGAGCGCCAAAGTAGCACAGAGTTCGAAGTACATATTACAATCACAACAAGATCGAATAAAGAGCGAAAGATTTGTCGCAGTACACCAGAAGGAAGCTAGCATGATAAAGGTCACGGTCGATAGTCTTAGAGTCACAATTTCGGCCAGCAGCGGGGATATAGAGACACTACTTGTTAATCCGAGGATTTAGGGGCCAGCAGGCCAGATTTGCATTAGCCAGAAGTCTGAGGGACAGATTCGTGCAGTTCAGGAGGTTCGTCAGGGGCAGATAGTTCCGTATTCTCCAGCACTAACAGCAGAGCAGTCTTCAGCCACAGTCAGAGTATATGTGATAGTACTGCGAGACCATAGAGCTAGCGGAGCAGTGGCGGAGGGTACGTTCCTTGTGAATTCTTTTCCCGTCTGTATTCTCTTTGATTCGGGAGCTTCGCATTCCTTCATTTTGTATGCTTTTATGACTAGACTCCAGCTCGTAGCTCAGCCTTTAGACACCCCTTTATCAGTTTCCACCCCTTTAGGTGAGGTATCGCTTCTGGAGAGCGTTTGTAGGAGGTGTACTATCAGTTTAGACGAGTCAGAGTTTGTTGTCGATTTGATAGTGTTGCATATGTCTGGGTTCGATGTTATCCTTGGTATGGATTGGTTGTCTTCCTACCATGTTAGTATTGACTGCTTTGCGAAGACGTTCGATGTTATCCTTGGTATGGATTGGTTGTCTTCCTACCATGTTAGTATTGACTGCTTTGCGAAGACCGTCGATTTGCGAGCTTCTGATGGGTCCGAGATGATCATAGCAACCTCTCAGGGCAACCGTTTTGCAGAGTCGTTTCTGGCGTACATCGAGGAGGTGATGTGACGGGATCAGAGTATTGATTTATTAGAGACTAGAGTTGTCTCAGAGTATCAGGATGTCTTTCAGGACATACCTGGGTTACCTTCATCTTACGTTTATTTTTAGACTTCTGAAGAGTCCAATTCTTATCCTGAAGAAGGTCAGGATATACCCACATTATTTCGTCTCTCACCATAGTGAGAGAGATCAAGCCTTGCCTTTGCTGGTTTAGGCGGTCATAATTTACCACCTCCATTCTCACAATAGGAATGGGGACAATGCGGTCTTGAGCTTGAAATTCTAGCATTGAGCCAAATTGGAGAATCACCATGTTGGTGGTGACTTTCTTTTGCTCCGGTTTGAGCTTGAGAATTCTTGACTCGACGAATATTTAGATCTTATCCTTGAGGATATATCAATTCTTCACTGGATGTCCCAACATTCTGTGA